AAGGGCAGATCAGAGAGGACTTCATGGAAGAGTGGTCATTTGAACTGAGCTCAGGAGGCCAGGAAAACAGAAGAGAAGGAATGATCCTGTGAAGGCAGGAAAGCCTGTGAATGCAGCAGGGAACGAAGACCCATTGGTTCGCCTAAAGTGAGCCAGTGGAAAGGAGCAGCAAGAAATAAGGCTGAGAAAGAGGGTCAAAAGTAGATCACAGAGCTGGGTGTGGTGGTGCACATATGTAATCCAAGCATTTGGGAGGCTGAGGCAGGAGAATCAACTTAAGTTCTGGAAGTTCTGGACCAGTCTAACCTACATAGTGAGATCCTGTCTCAACGCCCCCCCCCCCCCCCCCCAAGAAGTAGATCACAGAAGGCCCTGGGTACCAACCTAAGTTTTCCCTCTCTTTGACTCTCTTTGGCAGATAATGAGAAGATGTTAAGTGGTTTGTTTTGTTTTTTGTTTTTTGAGTGGGGGAAGGAGCAGAGACAGTCACAGTGTAACAGAAAGTGAGTTAGGGCCGGGGATTTAGTTCAGTGGTTCCACCGCCTGCCTCACAAGTGCAAGGACCCGAGTTCGATCCTCGGTACCAAAAAAAAAAAAAAAAAAAAAAGAAACAAAGAAAGTGGGTGAGTTTGGGAGACAGAGGACCTGAACACGAGCTCAGTTCTACAACTTACCAGGTCATGGCATCTCATTCATAAAATAAGGATTGTGATCTTAATGCCTTCCAGGAATAATGCCATGAAAATCAAATGTGAAAGTGCTTTATACTGGGTAAATGTTCATTGATTTACGATCAGAAGTATAATTGAGGAAGAATTATCCAGCAGCAAGGTAGGATGGATTTGAGGAGAGAAGGAATGGAGACCGGATGAGTAGGAGGTTATGCAGCAATTCAGCCAGAGGGCATTAAGGAAGACAAAGAAATGAAGGGGAGGAGGCACAAGAAATAGATCCACAAAACACAGCATTAGATGGGTGTTGAGTGAGGGGAGAGAGTTTGCCGTGATCCCAGACTTTGCCCATGGGCACCTGGGAGGACAGTGGCATCTGTAATGACGATTTGGGCAACCAGAGAGGAGAGCAAGTGGGAGAAGACAGGATGCACTCCCACTTGGAAGTGAATGCATCTAAGTCTTTGTATGCCCAGACTCCTTTCAGTCAAGCTGTTCTTATGGCAGAGCAAACAGAGGAAGCTCTTTCCTTGGGGTGCTTTCCTCCAAGGTGATAGGCTTTGGGCTTTTCCCTGCCCCTCACCTGCTGGAGGGGGCTGAAACATCCTTTCTAGCCACCTGATTTAGCAATAGTCAACTGTAGGGCTCTGCAGCAACTTAAAGGATCATTCTGTCACCATCCTCCTACAAAAGAACAGTTGACCCAGACAAGGGCTCATACTGAGGTCTTTGGGCTTCCTTCCTCCCATCCTCCAAAAAAGGATTTGTAAGCCTCTGCAGCATTGCTGAAGCCTGTGTAAAGGCAGGTCCCCTCTTGCTGTGCCATGGCTCCCCTGAAGGTCTCCGTGGACTCAGTATCTCTTGTGAGGCAGACCCAGGCTGTGACCTCCCTCAGCTTCTGCCTGTCCAGATCAGTTTCCAGTCATCTCTGCAACCTGTCTTTCTCAGCAACTGTAGTTGGTTCTGGGGAAGCAGATGCAAGGCACGGTCCTGGCCTTAAATTAAGAGTTCACAGATGGCAAACAATGGTAAACAAACATTTCAAAGCACCACAGTGTGATAAAATGGTAACTTGTGCAAAAGCATGCTCAGTAAACCCATGCCTAAGTGGGGTGGGAGAGAGCCCCAAGAAGATGAACTATTTCTTTGAGGGTGGGGAAGCCTTCTAAGGCCGTCTCTAACACTTGAATTTGGTTTTGAAGGGAAAGCAGGAGATCATCAGGTAGGCACTGGGCTGAGCAGTACAAAAGCAGGTCCAAAGGTGGAGAGGATAGAACAGTGAGGCTCTTTACAGAACTAGGGTCTAAGGTTGTTTGGAAGATTGTCAGGAAGAAGGCCTAGAGGTAGAGCCATTAAGGGCCTGGCAACTTGAGCTAGGAAGCTTCCAGCTTATCCTAAAAACAATAGGAGGCCTTAGCCGATTTTAGTCATGAGAGTCACAAATCATTTCCTTGCTTGAGAGCAATTCTGCACTCTGGTAAATCAATTCATTTAGAAGATAAGTGACTGTCAGGTAAAAGAAATGAGCTTGAAGGTAAAGAAAGAATGCTCTAGGAGGAGCTGACAGCATTAAGCGTGAGGTGGGAGTGGTATTTGCTAAAGGACCATGCTGGACGACACCATAGCTATGGCTGGCTTTTGATTTGGGGAAAGAATTGTTAAGTCCCGTTCTTAGAGGAAGAAGATGGTGGATGTCTTTGTTTTTGTTTGTTCACTACTCAGAGGCTGGGTCTTGCCTTTGGGAATGCTGGCCCTGGTTTTTAGTTGAAATTGTTTGGGAAAACAGCGCCCACTGGAGGAGGGAGACTGTATATGTTGGGTGGGCTACAGCAAACCACTTCCAGAACTTTGGCCGGCTTCCTTCCCCAGGGGCCTAGCCAGTTTGGGGGTGGAGTGTACTGATTGTTTATCCACTGTGACTCTGGCCACTGTGGAGAACAAAGCACCTGGCGGTGGGAGGTGGCACAACAGCTGGGAGCAGCACATCACAGCTGGAGGTGGCAGAAACAAAGGCTGGCAACAGCAGGCAACAGCTGGAGGCGGCAAACACAACAGCCAGAGGCAACAGAGACTAGCAAGTAGCCAAAATCTCCAGTGCCCACGAGTCCACAGCCTTCTCACTGGGCTCAGATGCTCCAGGTTCTGTTTTCTCTCAGCTGTGGTCCTATGTACGAGGTACCACAGAAGTACCTTCTGAGAGCAGGAGACCCGTGACAATAAACTTGGACTCCACGGAAGCGGTTGCTACAATTAAAAAATATATGGACCAGGAGCCAGAAGGCCTCTATCACTAACCTAGTTGGGGGCAAAGCTCTCTGAGCCTTAGTTTGTAATGATATCTTTCTACCTACCTCATAGTGTGAGGATCAAACTACCAATTTATAAGCTTTAAAGTGAGAAGTAATAATAGACTGTTATTTTGAGAATGGCGAACAAGACTTTTCATGGGCTCTCAGGGCTTCCATTCTCCCTGATGCAGGATTTCCCCTCAACACAAAGCTGGGACTTTGATGAGGAATCCCTAAACATCAGTACAGAAAGAGCATGGGCAGAGGTGAGAGGAGGAGACAGGCATCACCATCCTCCAGGAGCGCAGTTGGAAGTTTACAGACGATCTTTCAATCCCCATCCAAAGGTTAATCTCCTTTATCATCTCTGCAAAATGCTTGTCCAGTCTACCCTAGAATACATTCAGGGTCCGGGCACTCTCCACATTTAGAGAAGCTTCTTAAAATATTTGGATTGTCCTAATTGTTACAGAGCCCTTTGTAAAATCAGTCTGGAATCTTTCTTCCTGTAGTTTGAAATTACTGGCTCTGGATGTTCTTCTTGAGCTCAAAGAACTAGTCCAAACTTTTATTCATATGACAGCCCTTCTCAAGCCAAGTATTTTCAGACATCCGCTACGTCCTTCAGTTTGTCTCTTCTTCTGCCTAAATTCCCCATTTCCTTTAACTATTTCTCATGTGATCTGGTCCTCAATCCTCTCACATCCTGATTGCTCCTAGAGACTAGATACTGCAGGTGTGGGATAAACTGAGCCGAGTAGAATCAACTTACATTGTATTGCTTTTTTTGGTCAATCAAAATACATGAATAACTCATGTCGGTTCATTTTCTGCTAAAATGTTTAATTCTAGTCTTCATGGTACTGCTTGCTAAATTACATCTTCCCAACCCTGAATTTGCTTTAGGATATTTTTGAACCCAAGTATATAAATCAACATTTATCCTTTTTGTTAGATTTGGCCCATTCATCTGGCTCCTTTTGAGTCTTAATTATACTTAGCCCTTGCATTTGCGATCCCTCTCAGCTTTCTGTCATCCACATAGTTGACGTCTATAGAGTTCTCCAATTTCAATAAAATTTTGTTAAGAACATTGAATAAGGTAAGAGCAAAGATAAAGCTCTCTGACACATCAGGGAAAACTAATTTCAGACTCTCATTGTCCATTCATCAGTACTACTGATTTTTAAATAATTTTTAAATCACCTAATTAGATTGCCATTCTGTTTCTTTATCTTGTCTCCAAGAACAATGAGAGATCTTGTCAAAAATCTTGCTAAAGCCTAGATACACTTGATCTATTGGATTTCTCTGATTTGTCAACTTAGTTACCTTATCATACAAAGAAATCACTTGGGTGTGACTTGTTCTCAGTGAACCCTTGCTGAATCTTACTGATAACCTTCTCTCCTAACCCATTCAACAATTTGTCTATCTTGCCTGTTTGTTTATAGTTTGTGAAATGTACATTTTTTCTTTTTGAAAATTAAAATTATGTTCAATTGCCTTCAACTGTGCAGTAATTCATCTGTTCTCTAATAGTCCTCAAAATTTCTTATAGAGGGCTTATATCTTCTTTTCAAGATTTTTTTTTTTTTGGTACCAGGGATCAAACTTAGGACCTTGCGCTTTCAAGGCAGGTGGCAGAACCACTGAGCTAAATCCCCAGCCCCTTCTTTTCAAGAGTTTGAGGAATACATGAGAAGGTATGCTTGTGTGTGAACTCTAAAACAGTACTGTATATCCACACAGGCATTGTCATGGTTATTTATTATTATTGCCACTACTGAGTACTAAATAGGGCTTTATTTGGCCTTAAATAGGAATTCTTCAGGCTTCAGAGTTGTAAAGCTTCTTTTTTGTTCCAGAGTAACCAAGGACATGGGGCAATAAGTAGCACTCAAGTCTAGTTGAACAATAGTCTCCCACAGATAAAAGTTCCAAATGGCCCACAGGGTGGTAAAATGGGCATTCTGGTTGCCTCTGAACATTCTTGGGATTCTCATCCATTGGTGATCTTCAGTTTACTGTCTATCTGGATGGAAATATGGAGAACTCAGTAATTTAGGGTTTTCCAGGGGCAAGCCAGTGGAAACCAGCGGAGGGACAGAGTGTGAAGAACAATAAAACAATGACTGGTGCAGATTCTTGTGAAATGGAAATGTGACAGGCCCCTCTGATCTCCGAAAAGGGCCAAACTCCCATATCACCCTGCTCCTTCGGAGAAGATCTGGTCATCAGATTCAGAGTCCAAGGGCTCAAGATATTAAAAATTTCTCTGCTGGAAAAGTACAAGTCACTGCGTGGGCAGGGGTGCCAGGCACCTTGTGTTAAATGGATTGTCTCCGGTTTCAGTGCCTTGTCCCACTTTCTCCTACTATCAGGGCAAATAGCAATCCTGAATTTGAGCCTGTGCAGACATAGCCACTTAACTAATACGTACTCCTACTGCTCCTACTTCAGGAGACAGGAGAATTGTCAAGACAATTCTGCTACCTATAATCTGGCAATTCTGCCAATTCTTGGGAAAATGTCCCAGTGCTTCCAGGAAGCTTATGCATGCTTCTCTTCCACCACTGCTTATTTCTATTTGTTCATGTCCTGTCTGTGTTCTTCCTAATACCAATCTAGATCCTAACTCAGACCTAATTTCCTCAGATGATGCAAACAGATGATGATGATGATGATGATGATGATGATGATGATAAAAATGGGCTGGGTACTTGCAGAGCATCTTGAAGGGCAACTTCTGCTAGTTTCCTCAGCCAGATGAGTGTCTTGGTATCATCAACAGGTATTAACTTGGGTCTAGGAGAGAAATAGAGAAATTAAGAGTATGTGTGGATGGTAAGAGGATTGACCTGGAAGGATTTCAATGGAATATCCTTTCTTGCCTTATAATATTTATGTGGATGGGGAAAATCCTAGTTCAAAATTAGATAACTTTACAGAACTGATTTTGTGGAGATCGGTAGAGCCTCCACTAGTCTCATCTCTACTTTCAATGAACTATGAATTACTTTTATCTCTGCCTCTCCTCTCCTAAAAATTACATACTTCTTGAGCTTGTACCTTTCTCTGTAAGCTGTGTGTTCTTAGAGAGCAAGGATGATGTAATTTCACCTTTGACTTACCAGTACCTTGCACAATGTCTGGCATATAGCAAGTGCTCAATAAATATTTGCTAGTAAAAGAACAAGTGGCACCAAAATGGATATTAATTCCTGCTTGTCACTTGGTGGTGTTTATGAGTTAGCTGGATTTGTGCAGTAACCTCCTTGATGCTATCTTACTCCCTCTAGATGACATCGGTTGCCAAGGTCTATTACAGCCAGACCACTCAGACAGAAAGCCGGCCCATAATGGGCCCAGGAATAAGGCGGCGGAGAGTCCTGACGAAAGATGGCCGAAGCAACGTGAGAATGGAGCATATTGCTGACAAGCGCTTCCTCTACCTCAAGGACCTATGGACAACTTTCATTGACATGCAGTGGCGTTACAAGCTTCTGCTCTTCTCTGCAACCTTTGCAGGCACCTGGTTCCTCTTTGGTGTGGTGTGGTACCTCGTAGCTGTGGCCCATGGGGACCTGTTAGAGCTGGGTCCCCCTGCCAACCACACCCCTTGTGTGGTACAGGTGCACACACTCACTGGAGCGTTCCTCTTCTCCCTTGAATCCCAGACCACCATTGGCTATGGCTTCCGTTACATCAGTGAGGAGTGCCCTCTGGCCATCGTGCTTCTCATTGCTCAACTGGTGCTCACCACCATTCTGGAGATTTTCATCACCGGTACCTTCCTGGCGAAGATTGCCCGGCCCAAGAAGCGAGCGGAGACCATCCGTTTCAGCCAGCATGCAGTTGTAGCCTCCCACAATGGGAAGCCCTGCCTTATGATCCGAGTTGCCAATATGCGTAAGAGCCTCCTTATTGGCTGCCAGGTGACAGGCAAACTGCTTCAGACCCACCAGACCAAGGAGGGTGAGAACATTCGTCTCAACCAGGTCAATGTGACTTTCCAAGTAGACACGGCTTCCGACAGCCCCTTCCTCATTCTCCCCCTGACTTTCTACCATGTGGTGGATGAGACCAGTCCCTTGAAAGACCTTCCTCTTCGCAGTGGTGAGGGTGACTTTGAGCTGGTGTTGATTCTAAGTGGGACAGTGGAGTCCACCAGTGCCACCTGCCAGGTGCGCACTTCCTACCTGCCGGAGGAAATCCTTTGGGGCTACGAGTTCACACCTGCCATCTCACTGTCAGCGAGTGGCAAATACATAGCAGACTTCAGTCTTTTTGACCAAGTTGTGAAAGTGGCCCCTCCTAGTGGCCTTCGTGATAGCACTGTACGCTACGGAGACCCTGAAAAGCTCAAGTTGGAGAAGTCATTAAGGGAGCAAGCTGAGAAGGAGGGCAGTGCCCTTAGTGTGCGCATCAGCAACGTTTGATGCCTTCTGCCCACCTCCCAAGCCCTCTGTTCTCTTCCTCTCTTTTGATGCCTTGGGCAAGGGACACCACCTGGGTTTGCTGCAGAACCCTGGAAGCACCCATTTCCATTCCTCCTTCTTTACCCCGGGGGCCTGTCAGTAGGACAGGCCAACTGGGGTCCAAGTTTTCCTCCTACTGTCCCTTTTCACCTTTCCCTGCTTCTATCCTAAGGCACACAACTCCCTTAAGCCAGGATGGGGGAAGGAGAGAGAAGATTAGGCTGAAGTGGCTTAGATGGCCTCAGCCATGTTTGGAGATTCACATTAAGAGGACCATGTGGTTGGATGGCTAGACCCCCCCACACACCAGAAAGTTCGGAGACTTGAGGCTAGAAGCCCCCTGTCTCTATGTTTCCATCTAGCAGGTTCCCTAAGGCAAGACTCTCTTTGATGGTTGCTTTGTGGTCTGTACCCTCAGAAATATAAGAATCTAAAATCATTTTATTTGGAGGTCACTACCAACCCCTGTTGAAAGAAACCAGGGCTTGTCATAGTGTATTTAATTTTCGCTGGTAACTCCTGACCATAATCCGGGCCGTTGGTCACCACCAGTTTTTCCTTTCTAGTTTTCAAATGGAGCCTCCAGTATACATAATTCTTCCATAGCTTCTGTTCTCAGAGAATTGGGATGGACCTGAGAAACAGACACGAACTCATAATAATCACACCAACACCTGCCCTGGATTCTGAATGCTTCAGTTTTTGAACTGTTGTCTAAAGCTTTGAACCTATCCTAACCTATCCCAGGCAGCCCTGGGAAGATTTGCTTCCCTCTGTTCTGTGAATGAGAGAACCCTAGCCAATGTTCCCATGTATAAGTTTAGAGTCTGGGGCCCCCAAAAAGGACTGAAAATGATATTCCAGATCACGTGGCTCTTCTTCCTTTCCCACCCGGTGCAGACCCCTCTTTTAGAGAAAGGGAAAATACAAGGGCTTCCCTCTCTTAACATTGATGGGTAACTAAAACCAGATCTAACAGGGCACAGACTCCCCAGAAAAGTCAAACCAATCCACCAAGAGGGATGGGCACATCCTCAGATTTCCAGGCTGATGTACAGAAGTTGTGTTACTTTGTTAAGGTTTGGGCTGGCAGCCACTATTTTGTTACACCTCCTGGTTCCCTTCTGAAAAGTGCCAGTTACGTCATTAGACAATGCTGGGAGGGGAGAAAATTATATCTCCTGATCAAATAACCATGGTCACCCTCAGCCATTCCTAAGACTTTACATACAGTGATGAAGGTCAGTGTTGTCTTTACTCTCCTCTGCCATGGAATAGTTTTAGGCAAGTTTAAAAGATAGTTTAAGAGGGGCCGGGGATGTAGCTCAGTGGCACAGCCCCTGTCTGGCAAGCTCGAGGTCCTGAGTTCAATTCCCAGTATCAAAAGATACTTCAAGAGATAAGGCTAAGGTCAGTCCTTGTTCCCAGTGGGGACTGCAGTACAAGTCAAGGAAGGTCATATGGGTAGCAGAATTTCCTCTAAAGCCCCAAATCCCATGCGTACTCTCTGGTCTCACTTAGGTACAAAGGAACCCTCACAAAGTGGTCTGGCATAAAATCCCTGTATGAATCTTATTTAAGGTAGACTCAAGTTTTACAAGTTACACACCTGGACCGAATGTATACATGCATCTACATGCAGAGAAACTCACAAAATTTTGAGACTGGACTTACTTCAACCATGCAGTCCTCTTACATTGATCTCTCCTTGAACTTAACTAACTGTATCTTGAAAACGAAGATCCTTCAGTCTCTGCTCACTATAAGCACCACCATTACTCTCCAGGTCTCATAAAAACAAGAATGAGAAAAACTTGAAAATCTGAAAGAACAGAAGGCAAAGAGCCAGCCTTTGCACTGTCAACTTTATTCACATTAGACTTACCTGATTTCTTTCAGTGTATAAGCACAGAATGTACTGCAGTGCGTGTGTGTGTGTGTGTGTGTGTGTGTGTGTGTGTGCGCATGCACATGCGGATGGGTGTGTGTAGACCTCTTCTTATCCACTGGCAATTTGACCTCTATCTGATTTCTTCTGCACACTGCTGCTTCCCTCCTGAAGGAATTATTCTCTTCCTTTTCCCTGCTGTCTATTCTAAGACCCCAGATTTTTTATATTCCTGGATAACAATGTAAGTAGAGAACAATTCCGATTCAACCTTTAAAAAAAACTCCTACAATCCCAAGCTTTGTTCTAAGTTGCACTTTAAATCATATTGTACTGTTAATAAAATGTGGCATCTTCTCCAAAATACCCCTTGTTCCCCAGGGAACAACTCCTCCTACCCCAATCCTAGTTCTTTAGACTACAGCCTATCTCCTCTGATTTGGAATTCTCTTTCAGACTTGGGACGAGCTTTGAAGGCAGTCAAGTCTGGTGAGAAATGCGCTATAGACTTGGAATGTCAGGAGGAGCTGTAGACACAGATGTTAAGTGGAGAGATTTCAGAATGTAGGCAAAACAACTGGTGGGGAAGAGTACCAGATCGTGAGTATGAGAAAGAAAAGGACTGGGACTCAGTGAAATCAATGAAACCCTTGAGTCTTACTTGGGCTGGCAAATAAAATATGGGTGGAGGCTTGTGGAATAAATATAATGATACATATAAAAGGTTTATCTAAAGAGAAAAACAGATAATATATATATAGAGATATGTATAAAGATGTATATAAACCCAAATACACTGAATGTACAGAAAGGAAGTATTCAGAGACTTTAGCAGTGAGGATATGTATTTTGCCCTGGTTCCAGGGGTAGAACACCCAGATTTTCAGACTTACAACCAATGATCCTGGTTTTAACTTGGAAGTGAGATAGCTGATGGATTTTAGTTTTGATGGTGGGAAAAGGAGGGATGGAAGCATCTCTTCAGAAATAATCAAGGCTTCTGATGAATCTGTGCTGCTCATAGGACCAGGAAGAGAGGAGCTGGAAAGTAACGGAGAAGATATTCTATCCACGGAAATCTAGGAAAACTACTACTTATACTGCGTGTCCTGATCCCCAGCAGCATCCTGCCACTGTAGCACCTAAATAAATAAATTCACCTTTCTGTTTTCCTCTCTTGAACTACACTGTATTGTCCCTTCTTTCACAGGGGTGGGAGCAACTGCAGCTCCAGCCCCTGGAAGTAAACTGAGAAGCTAAACACTTCAGTGATGGTAGGTCCTAGAGGGAGGCCTCAACCCTAGAATCCAAATTCCAGAACCAAAGATCTGTTGGGCCCAAATATTCTCAGGGCAGAAGCCCATTTCTCTACATGGCTGCAAACGGCCTACAGCAGGTGTCATCTAAGGCAGAAGTCTCAATCCTGGCATTTGGCATGGAGAGGGGACTCTTTGGCTTTTATGCTCCTGTATGGAAATGAGGCATGGGGCTACTATCTGTCCTGGGGGTTGGTGCCATTCCATGAGAGGCTTCTGGAAACCCTACATTGTGCTTTGCTTCATTACCTGCCTCCATCTCCTGCAGCCCCAGCCAACTAATAAGACCATCCAAGGATCATCCTATGAAGTCTGAGCAGAGAAAGGAAGCCTGTCATACTGCTGCTACAAGCCAGGAGACTGCACCTTCCCCAAAGCTGCCATCTTGGTCCTTTATCCGTGCTAGCTAACCTAGTTTATTTGTAACACAACACACCACCTATGCTTCAAAGTTAGCTGGGCCTCCAGGCTCACTAATGGCCAACTCTACTGAAAATATTCAGGGATGGTTTTTCCATCCATTGCATTAAAGACAAAATCAAGTGAAACTAACCTAAGAAAAAGAGATGTGTGAATTATTTTTGGTTTATTTGTTTGATCAGAACAAGCTCCTAAAGAAAATCGATGAATGTTTGGTTCCACTTCAGCCTCTTTTAGAAATCTTAACCGATACTACTGTCAAGGCCTGAACCAATAGGTTTACCTATGGGAGAGGAAGCTTGAATCCAGCTCGGCTGGAAGAACTCCTCATCAGGAGACCATGCTTCTTGTTGATTTTCTCTCATGCTTTCCCTTCCGGCTATCATCCATTCTTTCCACTCCGTTCCTGCACCTCCACTAATTAACTTTAGGATCCTTTAGCAAATACCTTTCAAATACAGTTTTTAAAGGTAAAGATGTAAAAAAGTTAAGCCTCAGGAATATGAAAGCCAACTAAACTTAATCCAGGAAAGTCAAGTTGCTCTGGATCTCGGAGACTATCCCTTTTGGCTAGTGACTATGAGCCCAATTTTTCTTACACGTAGACTTTCTGGCCCATTTTCCTTATATTCCCAACCCCTATAGGCCAATTCCTTTAATCATCATGGATTTCTCTCCCCAAATCACAAAGAAATGGATTTATCTTCTACCTTTACCTGAGAAAGGCCTGGTTGTCAGTATCCAGGCTTGAATTCTCTCTGATAAGAAGCAACAGATTTACAATCACTGACTTATTCCTCAGAAATGGAAGGACAGAAGTAGGAGGGAAAAAAATCTATGATCATTAATAAATCTACAACATTTATGAAACATGAGGGATGAGTCATAAGACATAGGAAATACATAAAATACATAACTCCTAAAAGTTTTTAGTTCCTACAAACTTGTGAGGAAGAGAAATAAACTAACAAATGGCATATAACAAATATAACTGAGGGCAATAACAAGTAGTATATGCTAGTGCCAGATATAGAATTAACATGTACTAAAAAGAGTAAGCTCTCCATGGAAAATATTTTTCAGGGACAGACACTAGGCAAGGAGTGGTATCAATCTAAGAGGTCTGTTAGAACACATCTGACACAAGATTCAAGAAAAGTCAGCAAATCTGGAGCTGCTATTATGTGGAAGGTGCCATTTGACTAATGATATATGCCATCAAGAGATGGGTAGACTTACGGCTTTCTATCTTCTGTTTCTGCTGTGAGACTCTCCCCACTTCCTGCCAACCCCTAGCCTTCTTCACTCTATGACATCATAGGTCAAGTAAATCTCTCTGAAAGGTATACCATTTATGACAGCTGCCATTTTATATTGTGAATTTATTTAGCTGATGTCTTTCTTACTCACTAGACTTTAAGGGTCATGCGAATGGGATTCATGTCAAATGTTTGGTCACCAGTGCAGCTCAGCACCTTCCACAGTGCCTGGCATGTGTGATGCTCTATTTATCTGTCAAGAAGAAAAGAGGGAGACAAGAACTTGCCTAAAGTTCATATGGGTAATACCAGGTGGTGTTGGTATATCTTAAATATACCATCAATGATTTAGAGAACATATTTCACAAGGCATGACATCATTAACTGTTAAAAAATAGAACAGACAATGAACAGTTTTGGGAAGGGACAGACCACTTCTACTTGTTAAGATCTAGGAAGAATTTAGAGGAGCTGAGGATTGACCTCAGCATGAAGGACCAATAACAAACAAGGTAAGTGAAGGGAAATAGGATGCTTAGCAGACAGTGCAGCATGAGCAAACTATCATAGGAAGGCCCAGGCATATTTCATGGAAAGTTAATAAACCTAGGAGAGGGCTTTGTAGGTGAGTAGGTTGAAAAAGTAGAGGCAGGCAACAGAGGGATTAAATTTCAGGCTAAAGAGTTTATTATTTATTTATTTATTTGGGCCATTAATAGCCACTGGAGACAGGTAGAAGAGAATCTAAGTAAAGCACTATTTATTAATATTAGTCTGGCAGTAAAATCGAGACAGGAGACACTAAGCCAGTAAAGAGATCTTTAAAAGATTGAGGAAAGGATGATGACCACAGGCCCTAGTACAGTACAGTTTATTGAGTTGTTGAAGATCAGGTCTAAGGTGCAGGTCATTGGTCATAGAAAGAAGTAGGGATAGATTCAAAAGAAATTACAAGGGCCGGGGATTTAGCTCAGTGGCACTGTGCCTGCCTCACAAACACAAGGTCATGAGTTCTATCCCTGGTACCAAAAAAAACCAAAACAAAAGAAATTACAAAGCAAGACAAGAGCTAGCAAAAAAGTGACTGAATTAGCCAGGGTTCTAGCAGGAAACAGTACACTCAAAGAGCTAATGGAGCATGTTTTCATGAAGGGATTATTTACCACAATGTAGGCAGGTTTAATGCATCAGCAGGAGATTGGATGTACCTAGGGACTTGCAAGGTAGAAAGCCTTTACCACCTTTACACTTAAAAGGATAGTTATTGGAGCATGGTAAGAACTGCACCCAAGGGAGAGGGCTACACCTTCAACTGGAGCCTTGGCCTTAGAAGAGGAAGTCAGATACAGTGTACTGCTAAAGATCAGATAGTGCCACCCACTGGCCTATTCTATGGGAAGCCTGAGAACAAACCTCTTGGCGCACAAAACAAATACGGAAGAAGGGCCAGGGATTTAGCTCAGTGTCACTGTACCTTCCCTGCAAGTGCAAGGTCCTGAGTTCGATCCTCAGTACTGAAAAAAAAAAAGTAATGAAAGTAGATGCAGCATAGTTACTAAGGTCAAGGTCTTACCTAAGGATACTGGGGATGAGCTATGCATGTTTGCTTTCCCTACCCATTAGCTCTAAAGGGATGGAAATCTAGGAGTAGACAGTGAAAGGGTGGATTAGGAAGTATTATAAATAATAGTCCAAGAGGTAATGAATAATTTTACATTTGGAAAAAAATGTGGCTATTTCAGGGAGCTGTAAGAAAACAGGATCCCTAAGTCCAATGCCAAATGTTCAATATGAGGCCCGTGGACCCTGATGTTTCTATCCTACCTAAAAAAATAGTAACTAGAAGCTGGGTACGATGGTGCACACCTGTAATCCCAGCACTTGAGAGGCTGAGGGAGAAGGATTGCTGGGAGTTCAGGGCCAGGCTGGGTTACATAGTGAGTTCAAGGCCAGCCTGAATAACAAACTGAGGCCCTGACTCAAAAACAACAACAACAACAAAAAAGAGGGGCTGGGGATTTAGCTCAGTGGTTCAGGCGCCTCCCTCACAAGTGTAAGGTTCCGAGTTCGATCCCCGGTACTAAAAAAAGAGAAAAGTAACTAGAATTGGACTCCTCTTTCCCATTTGTTTTATAGGACTCCATCTGTTCTTCTTCCCTCAACTACCTAAAATCCCTTTCCTTTCAGTGACATGCTGTTTCTTTGGATTAGTTGGGGTTTTTTCCTTATCTGCCTATATTTGGTAGCTCTTCCCTATCTGCTAGGTCAGCCAATAGGGACAGATTGGGCTGGGCCTTTCTGTCAACTATCTAAACCAACCCAGCCAGAAGACCTCTTACTTAGTTAATTCTCAGACATTTACCTCCCACATTCTCTACCTTCTGGAGCTAAAGCTCACTTACCTGTAACTTGGAGAAAAAGAATAAATCAGAGATGGGGGTCACAAAGAGACAATCAGATTGAAACAAGAGATGAATGAGAAGAAACAAAAATTCAAATTTGTAATTAATATTTTTTGAATTGGAATCTTTATTACGAGTATGCCCCAAGAACACAGGAAAATTGAACCACACAGAAAATGGTCCTCCAAGCAGTTCATCATTCCTCTCTGACAATACTGATTGTTAAGAGATTTTGAAGAATATTTAATAGAGAGAAAAGCTGTCAGCCTTTCTATAAAATTATCAATGAAGTTACAAAAATATGACCTGTTCAAATCATAAAATGAAAACTCTCCCAATTCATACTCTGGAAAAATGCCAACCTGCCTGACCTGTGCTTTATCCCATATATTTGTGGACTGATCAATTTGCCAGCATCCATTTCCAGGACAAAGTGACTTAAAACTGTCTGGAGAATGATTCATTACACACACCTAAGGACCATTCACCTGTGGCTCTCACTTTTATTTGCCAAAAATATCTCCCGCTTTCAAATTGCTCAAAACTCAGGGCAGCTGCATGAGAAGTAGGCAAACAGAGAAAACAGGCTGATTCCTTCACTCGAAGAGTCACACTTTTCCTGTCTATTGAGATCCTAAGATTAGGGCCGGGGATTTAGCTCAGTGGTTCCACCACCTGCCTCTCAAGCTAAGGACCCGAATTTGATCCCCAGTACCAAAAAAAAAAAAAAAAAAAATTGGGAGAGACAGTAGGAGGATTTAATGTCAAGTCTACCTGAGATGTGCTGATCTTTTTTCTTTTCAGCCCAAAATAATGAGGAGGGAGGTGGCAACTCTCCTTCTTTAATTCATATAAAAACACTTCTGAGGGTTTTATGCCTTCATACCTGCTATTAATGCTTCTAATACCTCTCAGCAAATCCATGTCTGTTTGCAAACACTTCCCTCTTACTTCACTTAACAAATGTTTTTTAATGTGGATTGGTGGCCCGCAATTTGGCTTTCATTCTCAATTAGATCTTGACAATCTTTTCTTCATTAAGCAGCTTGGCCTGCACTGCAACTTATTCCTTACCCAAGCAATGCTTAAATTCTTCAAATTCAGAGTACAATTCCTTCCTCCAATTTTCCTTCTTCAACTTCAGCTTAATGAACTTTGAAACTTCTTTTTCACACCCCATTTCAGCATCTCCCATTTGCTTCCTCAGTCCTCAATGTAGTATCTGAGATTGTTCCTGTAACTGGCTGCAGTGTCATCAATGGGCCTCAGGTAGTGATGCTGTGGTCAGAGAGACCCTGCAATGGCAACACAGCAGCTCCAGGTCCTCCTCACAGAACAAGTCCAGATCCTCACTTGCTTCTCACAAAGGGGTTCCCTTGCTGTCTGTCTCTGTGGTGGGCAGCTATATAACAGTATCAATCATGTGGCATAATTGAGTGATGCTCTTGAGGTTATCCAAGCATTGGCAGAGGCTTCTGGGACAATGAAAGACATCCATTAGATATTCCCAGTGCTGGTGAATGCAGGAGTAACAGAAGTTGTGCCTTGCACGCAGTGATCATGAGGGCTCTCTGGTAATCTAGGTCGATGGGGCATCTGGCTGATCTTTGGAGATAGACCAGGGAGGTTTGAAGGCCATTGCACTGGGAGGGTCTGTATGAGGAGACATTTCAGTAGGACTGGTGCTCCAGGAACTGAGAAGTGAGAAGCCAGTGCCTCATCAGCCTTCTCTCTCCAGAGGGCTTCCAAGGTCTCCAGGAAGCTGTAACACCATGCACCTGTGTCTGCTTCTTTCCTTTCAGCTCTAGAATCAGCTTCCAGTGGGAGGTACAGCCTCCTGGCACTCCTGATCCCTTGGCTATTTAGTTATCTTTGTGGAGAAAGAGCCATAACATTGGGAGAAGCAATGGAAATTATCAATAGTGTAGGTAATTCCAGACTGTGGTACACTCAACAGGTCAAATGATGAGATTTGTGGAGTAGGTGGCTCTGGGGGGGATCTTGGAGATGGGCCTTGGAGCTGATTCTCTGAAGCCAATCTTGTACCACACTACCTATAATTAATATTTTATTTGAAAGTCAGCCACATAGTGATTAAGGTCCTCTGGGTCAGACAGACCTGGTATGAGCTCTGATCCTGGCTGGCTATGTGACTTTGGAAAACTACTTACTGTCCAACAGCCCTGATTTTGCTCATTGTAAAGACAGGACTATCTACCTTACATGAAAAGTATTTAGCACACTGCCTGGCACATTGCAAATAAGTCCTCAACAAATCCTGATAGTATAGGTCATCATAATAGTTATTATTGTTTGAATGGTGAGCTGCTGCCACTGTACTGCTGCAAAGAAATGGTTAGAAATAATGTTAATTGAAGACATATTAAAAGATACAGAGATATCAGAATATGAATATGGTATGTGTAAGATTTACAGGACCCATGTTTAGATTGGATGAAGTCACCTCTCTTTTTTTTTTATGCTAGAATTGAAATCTTCCCCTAGGAAGCAGGCTCAATTTGTAAAACCAAGTCAGTTAGAATTTACTAACATTTATCATGTGCTTAAGATTGCAATAATTTATGAAGAACTGAGAAGAAATTAAGGGTTACATATAAATTCTACTTTCAAGAATCCCATAATCTCATTGAAAAAGTTATGAATACAATCTAACGTAAAGTATCAAATTCTGCAATGGAGGCTAAGTGCAAAATGTGATCACAGAAGAGAAAGAGCTAATGGATTGAAGTCCTTGGTGAGATATTCATGGAAGGAGGGTTTGAGTGGGGTGAGTGAAGGGCAGATCTTTACATACTAAGAGATATTTGAAAGGGAAAAGAAATGGGAGTTGAAAGCACTCTGGGGATGCCATTCTAGAAGTATTTTGACAAGAAAAACATCCAAATCAACTAATTTTTACTGAATGGTTACTGTAATTCGGTACTGCGTTAGAAATTTAAGTATAGAAAAGAACACGATAATCTGTTCTCAAGGAACTCCAAGTCCTCATGGAAAGGCAGGAGAGAAAAACGAAACTACTTATTACTAGCAGTGAAACAAATGCTATAGTAAGAGAATGACCCTTGAATTTTGAAGCACTTATGTGACAGGGACTGGGCAGGACTTCCATGTAGCCGGGCAAGGAGAATTATTTTCTGGAGCTAGAGAGAGCCCCTGTCCCAGTTCAGCAGAAAGGTCTGGCATCTAAATTATTCTGCGTGATGAGGAAGTGGACTGAGCTAGGATATGCCTGACACTTGAGTTATGGGCTAAAAGGGTGAGCAGGTGTTCACCACCTTCTGACTAGGGAGGGGAAGGCAACCTTGGCGGAAGGAACAGCAAACACAAAGATACTGAAGCCCGAGGGCCGGACACAGTTTAGAACCCTGTGAAGTTTTCCAGTCTTCCTTCCCATTCTCTCCACCTAGGGTTGCCGGATGGAGAAGCTGCTGATTAAATCTGGATTTCGGATAAACACCTAATATTTAAAAAACTATAAGTAAGCCCCTAATATTGCACGGGACAAGCACTCTCTAGGCCTTCAACTCACCCCAGCCGGTCCCATGAGCCCACAAAACCCTCATAAATGCCGCAGAGAGAGCCGCTGCGATAAAGTATGAGAACTATCTTCGTTTATTTTCTCTCCATTTCTACATTTTTCACTCTCGAGGTTCCAGCTCAGGCATGAGGAATGCAGTTTGCAGTTCGTGGCTAGCTGGGTGTCAAGGATCCACTTTTACGAATGGAATTGAGAAGAACGAAGACATCACAAAACATCCAGCTCCACCGAAACCTAAGGTCCGTTTTCCGGGCAGCCAATATCACACAACCTAGAGAACGGAAATCCCGCCTCCTCTGAAGGAAGGCGGAAAAGAACAGCCAATCCAAAGGAAGACAATTCTTCCGCGGGGCGGACGGCGAAACCTGAGAGGGGCTGGAGAATGGAAGTAGTGGGGGGCGGGGCTCCATGCCGGAAGTGAGAGGCCTGTAGTTTTTTTTTTTTCCGTATGGCGCCTTACCAGTCTGGTGGAGCACCCGCCACCTGAGGCGAGGAACCGTGGCAAGAGTTAGAGACCCTAACGCAGTTTGGAGCTGGGACTGAGCAGCTGTCCCACAGTCAGGTCATGAGCTCCAGCAGCCACCTGGGAGCATGGTTCCCGAGCCTGCTGGTGCACCCCGCCGGGGTATTCGGGATAGCCTTTCTTGCCCGAGTCGTCCTGGTGTTCTATGGGGTCCTCCAGGACCGGTCCCTGCACGTGAGGTACACGGACATCGACTACCAGGTCTTCACGGACGCTGCGCATTTTGTCACTCAGGGGCGCTCTCCTTACCTGCGGGCGACCTATCGTTACACTCCGCTGCTGGCTTGGCTCCTCATTCCCAACGTCTGCCTCAGCGAGCTGTTTGGAAAGTTTCTGTTCATCAGCTGCGACCTTCTCACCGCTTTCCTCATATACCGCCTGCTACTTCTGAAGGGGCTGGGGCAGCGCCAGGCTTGTGGCTACTGTGTCTTCTGGCTCCTCAACCCCCTGCCCATGGTGGTGTCCAGCCGGGGCAACGCGGACTCCATTGTCGCCTCCATGGTGCTTATGGCCCTGTACTTAATAGAGAAACGACTCATCGCGTATGCCGCAGTATTCTACGGTTTCGCGGTGCATATGAAGATGTATCCGGTGACCTATGTTCTTCCCATAGCTCTCCACTTGCTTCCAGAACGCGACAGTGACGAAGAACGCTGTCGGTCCCGGCATTCTCTCCAGGCTCGTTTGTATGCATTCCTGAAGAGGCTGTGTAGTCGGGCTGTTCTGATCTTTGCAGCAATTGCTGGATTCACATTTTTTGCGCTGAGCTTTGGTTTTTACCTTAAATATGGTTGGGAATTTGTGGAGCACACTTACCTGTATCACCTGACTAGGCGGGATATCCGTCATAACTTTTCCCCATACTTCTATATGCTGTATTTGACTGCAGAGAGCAAGTGGAGTTTTCCTCTGGGAATTGCTGCATTCCTGCCACAGTTTATTTTGCTTTTAGCAGTGTCCTTCACCTACTACAGAGACCTTGTCTTTTGTTGTTTTCTTCATACGTCCGTTTTTGTGACTTTTAACAAAGTCTGCACCTCCCAATACTTTCTTTGGTACCTCTGCCTTCTGCCCCTCGTAATGCCGCTGGTGAGAATGCCTTGGAAAAGAGCAGTCGTCCTCCTAATGTTATGGTTTATAGGGCAAGCCCTATGGCTGGCACCTGCATATGTTCTTGAGTTTCAAGGAAAGAACACCTTTCTGTTTATCTGGTTAGCTGGCCTATTCTTCCTTTTTATCAACTGTTCTATTCTGATTCAGATTATTTCCTATTACAAAGAGGAAACCCTGACAAAGAGAATCAAATATGACTAATGGACCAAAAAAGAGTTTTGGAATTTTTTTCTGAATATTCTAAGCACTCTAGTGAAAATATCTTTGTTTCAACAGAAATTAAAACCAGTGTTTGCCTGATGAATAACAGAGATTCAATAATTGAACCTCACCCTTTAGAAAATCTTAGGACTCATTTATTTAGGACATAATGGGAAGTAAAGGATACTTGTTTTAAAATGGCAAGGCCATTTAGGTGTAGTGGTGCATGCCTGTGATCCCAGCACTCAAGTAGACTGAAGCAGGAGGATCACAACTAAATTCTAGATGAAAAACCTTTTTAGCAATTAGAAATTTAAAATTAAAGAGATAAGAATATACTAAGATTTTAATATACACTTAAAAATATCTTTGGATATTTAAGGTCCTTAAATACACAAACTATGAGCACACCTTGCTATAGTCTTATCTCTTTAATTTTAAAAGGGTTTTTCTTCTAGAATTTACTTGTGTTGTCAGTGTTGCAAAAATAATTGTTTTATCACTGAGCTTGTTAGTAAGACAGCCCAGTTTAAACACATCTCACTTAACAAAAATTCTGTGATGGAAATGGAGACCTTCAAGGGAGGCTCCTGGAAAAAATAAGCAGCAGCATCCTAAGGAGCCAGAGCTCTACTAAAATAGGAAATTGGGGGGTCAGGGATTTAGCTCAGTGGTACTGCCGCCTGCCTCACAACCACAAGGTCCCAAGTTCGATCCCCGGTACCAAAAATAAGTTGGGGAGGGGATATGTGAAGATGAGGTTTTGGTGGGCAGATCTGTGTCCTTTATCACTATAATATTTCTGTGGGAAACTGTTTTCTGAATTGTTTGAACAAGAAGCCTAAAATATTAAAAAAATATATAGCCCATCTTGGTTGGGGGCATCCTAACATTCTAAAATGTGATAGTAGTATATGAGTATGATTTTCAGGTTGTGGTTTTAAAAGGTGAGTCACTTAATACATTGTTCTTTCAGTCAAAAACAGGAGACCCCTTATAAACAAGAAACTCCAGAGAAGTAGTATTTTTCATGTCAATTCAGGCCTGAAAACGTCTTTGAGAACAAAGTGACTGTAGGCTGGTCATAATTAAGAATTCTATTATTGGCAGCATTTCTTTGCTGAGTATCATTTTGGGTCTGGCATTAGAAAGAAGGAGAGAATAGGTGGCTTTTCATGGGCTGCTGTTTTCTTTTTTTATATATATATTAAATTCTTTTATTGGTACATTGTAGGTATACAACACAATTACATTTCTCATTGGGAATTGTGCCTTTACATAATACATCTTGGTTCTTATTTTTTCCCCATTCCTAGCCCTCCCTTCATCCCCTCCACCCTTCCCTATTTACAAAGACTTTATTTCCATTTTTTCCATTTCTCATCATTTTTCCTTTCCCCTCTTTCCTTTCCCCTGCCCCTCCCACTACCCCTACCCCTTTGGACCTTTTCTTCCTATTTTGCATTATCGACTATTCATTCTAATCATTGGTACATTTTAGGTATACAATATAATGACATTCATCATTGGAAATTTGCACCTTTACATAATCTCTTTTGGTTCTTATTTTTCACCCTTGCCCAGCCCTCCCATCAACCCCTCCAGTCCTCCCTATTTACAAAGATTTTGTTCCTATTTTTCCATTTTCTCATATTAATCCCATTCCCTTCTATCCTTTCCTCTAGCCCTCCCACTTCCTTCCCCTTTGCCCCTTTTCTTCCTATTTCACATTACCTATTATATATTTAGTCCTTATTTACACTTTCAGTTTCTCACATCAGAGAAACTATTCAGTATTTATTCATGTGTGTCCTATTTATTTCACTTAAGAGTATCGCCTCAATGTGCATCCACTTAGCTATAAATGTCTCTAATTTCTCATTTTTTATGGCTGAGTAGTACTCCATTTTATAAAAAAACCACATTTTCTTGATCCAGTCTCCAGTTGATGGGCATTTGGGCTGTTTCCAAGTTTTAGCTATTGCAAACTGTGCTGCTATGAACATGGGTGCACATATATCACTGTGGTATGATTCTTTTAATTCTTTGGGGAAGATCCCCAGCAGTGGAATAGCTGGGTCAAATGGGACTTCCAGTCCTAGTTCTTTGAGGTATCTCCATACTGATTTCCACAGTGGTTGCATCAGTCTACACTCCCACCAGCAGTGGAGCAGGGTTCCTCTTTCTCCACAAATGGGCTGCTGTTTTCATGAAAACAGCAGGGTCAGTTTTTGAGAACAATGACCTTCCTTATAACATCTAGACCCCTACCCTGTATTAGGTCTTATCTTGACGGCCCCTTGTCTATGAGGTCAACTAGTAAGTAGCCTTTCAGCTATGGCATTCTCACCTTTCAAAATTATTATTTTTTTAATAACAAAAATTTGTTGGTAAAGCTAGAAGGGGAAGGGGTAAGAAATAGAAATACTGTAGAATTTCCTCACCCCAATATAATTGTCTTTTTTATGTCCCTGATTACTCCTTTATAGTTATATTTACTTTTTTCCTTATATATTTATTATTTTTTGAGGTTCTGGGGATCAAACCCATGTCCTTAAACATGCTAAACAATCACTCTACCACTGAGCTACACCCTCAGCCCCTTATTTATTTTTCACTTTAACTGTCTTTATTGTGGCTTACTCTTCATATTTAGCATTGAAATTGCTAAATAATCTATCACATGGATGTTCACATCATAAATGTGTCATTCTCCCATTGTTAAAATGGAATTCAAAATTACTTTGTTTTTAATACTCTAAATATGACATTAAACATTTTCCATATTTTAGATCATTCTTAGAAGTCAACAAATTTCTATTTGGATCTTTAACTCCAGATTCCTCCTTCAGAAGTTCTTTACCGAAGAAATTCAGGTATAAGAGCACAGAGGGTATTGTGCAGTTTATGTCCCACACAATAAGTATCTTAGTTACCCTTCCTTGACACTGGAACAAAATACTCAATACCCACAACTTAAAGGAGAAAAGGTATATTTTGGGTCACATTTTTTTTTTTTGACACCGAGGATCGAACTCGGGTCCTTGCACTTGGGAGGCGGCAGACCCACTGAGCTAAATCCCCAGCCCTAGAAGTTTCAGTTCTTGCATAGTTGGCAGCATGGTGGAAGGGCCTGGGCTAGGAAAGCTGCTCACTTCATGGCTGACAGGAACCAGAGAGTCCAGGGTGGAGTCCGGAAGGGAGATACAATTTTCTAGGTTATAGTCACCGTGACATGCTGCTTCTGACCAGTTCCACCTCCTAACAGCAAGTCTGCTGTAATGCCCCCATAAACTAGTTACCTTACAAAAGCCCAACCTTTGAGCACGTGAGGCTAAGTTAACTTGAGAAAGAAATTAATTTGGTCTTGGGGGATTTCACCTTTTTTAAACTTATTTTTGCTTTCCAATTTTGTAAAATCTCTTTTTGGCTTCTTTTCACTTGCCATCCTTTTGATTTCCTTATTAGCCTTTCATAATACTTAAAATTCTATAGCACTTGGTTTATTTCCTGCATAATTCTTTTTGTTTTTATTTATTTGTTTGATGTGGTACTGCGGAGTGAACCCAAGGCCTTCACACTGAGCTACATTCCCTGCCCTTTAAAAAATTTTTTTTTTTGAGATCTTCCTAAGTTGCTAAATTGCCCACGTTGGGCTCAAATTTACAATCCTCCCATCTAAGGCTTCCAGAGTGCTGGGATTTCAAGTGTGCACCACTGTCCCTGGCTTATTTTTGTTCTCATACCTTGTGTGCTATCCAGCTTTTTGTTACTGTAACACCTGATATAAATCAGCTTGTAAGGAGAGAAGGTTTACTTTGGCATATGGTTTTAGAAGTTTCAGTCTAGGATTGGTTGGTCCTGTTGGCTTTGGGTCTGGGATGAACAGCACAATATGGCAGGGAGCACATGGTGGAGCAAAGCCTTTCACCTCATGTCTGGAGGCCAAGAAGAGAAAGGAAGAGATCAGGGTCCCATAATCTCTTTTAAGGAGAGGCCCCCAAAGAACTGAAACCTGCCACTAGGCCCCACCTCTTAAAGATCCCACAGCCTAACCATAGTGTGGGCTGGAAAGTAAATTTTTAATTAGCACATGGGCCTTTGAGAGACATTCCAGATCCAAAGAGTAGCACCGCGCATTAAGATCAATATGCCCACTTACAGAAAAGCATTCCTTATTAGATTAAGAGGGGCTACCTAACTTGAGTTTTTCTGCAATTGCTTTTTGTAATTTCAAAATGTGGTCCCTGAAGATTCCAACATAAATTCCCTGGCTTAGGCTCATTGGAAAAGCAGATACTCCCTCACTGCCCAGCCCAGCAAAAGGATTCTTTCTCAAAACCATAGATTTTAGTTAGCATCTTCTCACCATCTGAATTCCTTTTTTTTTTGGTATTGGGGATTGAACTCAGGTCCTTGCCTTGTGAGGCAGGCAGTGGAACCACTGAGCTAAGTCCCCAGCCCACCATCTGAATTCTGTAAGTGATACAGTATTGGTTCAGAATTTGTGTAGAACTTGTCCTTTAGTCAGTTGACATACATATGGCTGAATATATGTTATTTCTCCAACATCAGCTGTTTTTTGCATTACTACTCCTACCCTCTAACTATGAATTATAAGTGAGAAAGAAATTTATGAAAAATTTTTACATGGGATGGCCTCTAAATGTAATCCCTTAACTTGTACCTGTCCCCTGCCAGTGCTGTTTAAACATTATCCATGTAACTACCTTCTAAGGTCAACAATTAGCATTTTGCTATATTTTCTTTATATATATATAATTATTTATTTACATTTTTTTCTGAAATGTCTTAAATTGCAGAAGTTGAACATCACTAAATACATCCGCATACATCTAAAAATTGTCTTTTATAAAACCACAATAATGTTTTCTAATATATTTTGATATCCTACCCATTTCAAATATCTTGTTTTAAATCTTAATACACATTCTTAGATCTCAAATATTCCTTGAAAAAGGTGTGATAAGGAATACATTATTAAGAACTTTGAATATTTTCTAGTCTTTTTAAGACAAAGCTGAGAGCTAAAGGGATTTATCTCTCATCGAAGTTGAAACAATTCTCTTGTGTGCAGTTCTGTCTCCTAAAAAAAAATAGGGTCATGATCAGTCTGTTTTATGTGGTAAATTTTCTAAAGAATACATATATTTGTAATCAATATTCATCCTCCTTTCCCCTCATGATAACAGTAGCTGATTAACATTTTATATCATGAAGGTGATTTTTTCATGATTAATTGATTTTGGGTGTCTATTTTGCCACACATAGTTTTATTTAATTTTTTGCAGTAATACCTCAAAGTTAGTACTGTAATTCTATAGATGAATAGAGACTCACAGATTAAATGCCTTGCTAATATGTAGCAGAGCTAGAATCTGAAGTGTTTTTCTAAAATCACACGTATTTTCCACTATATTATGTTTCAAATTTTTCCAGAGTACCCAGGCTCAGCAAATGAAGAGTACTGCGAAATAAATACCGCTCAACATGGACTCTGGCAAATGTCTTGTCAGTTTGTCTTTCCTACTGTGTTAGGAATTCCTACTGTGTTAGTATTTGCTTAAGGGGCAGTTCTCTTTCAGCTATACCAAGTTTCTGTCATTCCTAAACTTTTTTCATTAAGGATTCCAGACCCTTAGTAATTCTCTCCCACGTCCCAACCCTGTCTTATCAAATTCTATGATTTCTTTGTTATTGCCCACTTCATCATGCCCTTTTCCTTCATAGCCTAGTCTAAGAAGTTGATTTACTAAAATGTGTTAGCTGAGCTGTTTGTAAATCAAGCAGTAGAAAACGTGATCATAATTTCCAAAACTCATTAAATTTCTTTTGCCGTGCAGTAT